CTCCGGACCAATCTTGCCTATATGGATAGCGTGCATGATCTCTGGGAGGATTTGAAGGCACGGTTTCAAGTCGGAGATGCAATGAGAACCCATGAGCTCAAGGAATTGATACGAAACTGCCGGCAAAACGGACAGCCAATTACGACATATTTCGGCCGCCTCAAGGCTTTGTGGGATGATTATGATGGATTTCGTAACATCCCGCAATGCAAATGTGGAAGATGTACATGCGAATTAGAACAATTATTTCTAAAGCATGTAGAAACGGAGAAAATACATGATTTTTTACTTGGTCTCGATCATGACACATATGGAACACTAAGGTCCAATATCCTTAGTGCGGAGGAATTGCCGTCCCTCTCGAGAGTTTATCATATGGTAACCCAGGAGGAAAGACACCAAAATATGGTGTGTGGACGCGAAGACAAACCGAAGGCAGTAGCCTTTGCTACTCGCGCAGAAGTGGTTGATAGAACAAGAGAAGAACGGGTAAAATGCACTTTTTGCAATAAACCTGGGCATGAGGCAGAACACTGTTTTAAACGAACAGGTAAATACCCCGAATGGTGGTTTGATAACCCGGGAAGAGGACGCGGAGGCCGAGGTCGAGGAGGTTCTGGACGTGGGAGTGCGGCAGGACATGGTCGAAGTCGTGCTACAGTGCATGCAATACAGATGGCGGAGAGCTATGGAGACAATGCTTCGGGACGTGATGCAACTGGCACTTCCATGCACAAGCCTCAACTCACGGATGAGCAGTGGCAGCACATGCTACGGATGCTAGAAAATAGTAAGATTGAACCTGAGAAATTGACAGGTACCAAATTTAATTCTCAATGGCTCCTAGACTCCGGGGCATCATATCACATGACCGGAGAAAAATCAGTTTTGACAAAGAAATACAAGATGAACCCAATTTCGGTTCAGTTGCCTAATGGCGACGTAACTCAGGCTACACATGTTGGTGACGTGTGGATTTCTTCACAATTCAAACTGGAGAATGTGTTACTTGTGCCCGGATTGCAATGCAATCTTATATCAATAGCCCAGTTGATTGATCAACGAAAATGTGATATATTTTTTACTAATGATTTATGTGTGATACATGACCTACTTACGAGGATGCTGATTGGGGTGGGTGAACGACGAGGGGGAGTTTATTTTTTCCGGGGTCTTGATCAAGCTCAAGCATATGTTATGGCGGCGTCAGACTCAGGTGAATTGTGGCATTCTCGGTTGGGACATCCATCAGTGAAAGTTTTGCGTTTGATTCATATTTTTAATAAATCAATGTTTAAATCTGTTCAGAATAATTCCCGTGATGCTTGTTTACGTGGAAAGCAGACTCGTGATGTTTTTGATATTAGTAATGCACGTGCTATTGAACCTTTTGAATTAATACATTGTGATGTGTGGGGTCCCTATAGAACTCCAGCTCTAGGAGGTTCACGCTATTTCTTGACCATTGTTGATGATTATACACGAGCTGTGTGGGTACATTTGATGAGGGAGAAAGGCGAGGTCAAAAATTTTCTTAAGCATTTTTTTGCCATGACTTTACGACAATTTAACAAATCAGTGAAAGTTTTTCGAAGTGACAATGGCAAAGAATTCATTGCTTTGAGAGAATATTTTTTGACACAAGGAATAATTTTTCAGACGTCTTGTGTATACACTCCACAACAAAATGGTAGGGTTGAGCGGAAGCATAGGCATATACTTGAGGTAGCTCGTACTCTACGCTTCCATGCAAATTTGCCTATAGAATTTTGGGGTGAATGTGTGTTAGCTGCCGGATATTTAATTAACAGATTGCCCTCTCCCGTGATAGAAAATAAGAGTCCGTATGAACTCCTGTATAACAAACCTCCTGTATATACTCATCTTCGGGTATTTGGGTGTTTGTGTTATGCACATTCTAAGGATACAACAGGTGATAAATTTGCACCCCGTGGAGTAAAATGTGTGTTTTTGGGGTACGCTTACTCTAAAAAAGGATGGAAGGTATATGACTTGGAAAATCACCGACACTTTATTTCTCGCGATGTCAAATTTATTGAAACCATTTTTCCTTTTAAACTGGTTGAAAATAATTTTGGCTGCACAAATAATGAGTCACATGACCATGCGGCATCATCTGAAGCAAGGAGTCAGGATCTTGAACATCATATACGAACATTAGATGACTCATCCCCAAGTTATGGGACATGTGATGATGGTCACATTCCGTCACCACAAGAATCTGACAGCAATAATGATGTGGGGTCCCAGGTAGTTGTTCACGATTGCATGCAGATGCATGAAGAACATAATATGAGTTCTTACCAGGAGGATATGCAAAATACGGACAATATTGGTAGTAGACGAAGCACACGACAACGGCACAGGCCGATTTGGCATCGCGACTATGACATCCAGCTCAACACCATGAAAATAAACTCCTCCCCTGGTCTTAACCCACCCCACTTGGCTGAATCCGGTACTCCTTAATCCATATCTCATTATGTAAATTATAATCACTTTTCGGTTCCGCACCGTGCTTTTCTTGCAGCTATATCCGCAGCCAAAGAACCGTCCACTTTCAAAGAGGCAGTACGCGATCCAAAGTGGCAAGAAGCAATGCGTCGAGAGATTGAAGCTCTCGAACGAACAGGTACATGGGATATCCAAGATTTGCCACAAGGGAAGAAGGCTATTTATTGCAAATGGGTGTACAAAATTAAATACAGGAGTGATGGCTCGGTAGAATGTTACAAGGCACGGCTGGTTGTCTGTGGAAATAGACAAGTTCAAGGACTTGATTATAGCGAAACATTTGCTCCGGTTGCTAAAATGGTCACTGTTCGTACCATTTTGGCAGTAGCAGCCTCATGTCATTGGGAGCTTCATCAAATGGACATAGATAATGCCTTTCTTCATGGAGATTTGCGTGAGGAAGTATACATGCACTTACCTCCTGGATACTCTGCTTCCTCCCCAGGGAAGGTATGTCGACTGCTTCGGTCATTGTATGGCCTCAGGCAGGCCCCCCGATGCTGGTTTTCTAAGCTCACCACTTCATTACAGGCTTATGGTTTCTGTCAGTCACATGCTGACTACTCCTTATTTACTTTACAACAAGATCGGTGGATTTTGTGTGTTTTGATTTATGTTGATGATCTTCTTATCACCGGTAATGATCATGATATGATTGTGGCGTTTAAACAATTTTTAGCTGCTTCATTCCCCGTGAAAGATCTGGGCATCATGAAATATTTTTTAGGTATTGAAGTTGCCCGCAATTCCACCGGGATATTTTTGTGTCAGCGTAAATATGTGTTGGACATTCTGGACGAAACAGGGTTGACAGGGGCTCGACCTGTTTCTTTTCCTATGGTGCAGAACCATAAATTACAATCGGCCACTGGGCCTAATTTTTCTGATCCGGAGCGCTATCGGCGGCTAGTTGGCAAACTAATTTATCTTACTTTAACTCGTCCAGACATTTGTTACTCTGTTCATATTTTATCTCAGTTTATGCAATGTCCAAAGGTGGCACATTGGGAGGCTGTCTTACGTGTTTTACGTTATCTTAAAGGTCATCCCGGACAGGGCATTTTGTTGCGGTCTGATTCTTCACTCACATTGACCGGGTTTTGTGATGCCGACTGGGCTAGCTGTCCACTCACACGACGTTCTGTCACTAGGTACTTTGTTTCTCTGGGAGACTCCTCCATTTCCTGGCGTACCAAGAAACAGACTACAGTCTCTCGCTCTTCGGCAGAAGCTGAGTATCGTTCCATTGCTGCATTAACTCGTGAACTCATATGGCTACGCAATCTGCTTCGCTGCTTGGGGATTGTACTTTCTTCACCAGTACCACTTCATTGTGACAATCAAGCCGCTCTGCATATTGCTTCTAATCCGGTGTACCATGAGCGAACTAAGCATATCGAGCTTGATTGTCATTTTATTCGAGATCACATACACGCCGGCATCATCTCTCCTTCATATACATCCACTGGTGAACAACCTGCGGATTTGTTAACGAAAGCACTAGGCGCATCTCAATTTTCTTATTTCCTTGGCAAGATGGGCATTTGTGACCCCCATGTTCCATCTTGAGGGGGGGGGGTGTTGATTTGTTTTGTACATGTATTTATGTAGATTTATTTTTCATGTACATTCTTTGTATGTAAGTTGAGTTGTTTTGCTTTGGACTGTACTCTTTGGGAAGTGGAAGCGCAGACGTCACTGCATGCATTGTATTTAGGCCGACGACATGTTGTTCTTTGCACCAAAAAAAAAGAAAAGAAAAGGATTTGAAACACGTTGTTTTCCACTTCGTTTTTTCTCTTTATTTTCCACTTCGTCTTTCTCTTTATATTCTCCAAACAAATCTTGCTCTTATTAGGAGAATCAAAATCGGTAGCTTCCGCCTCCACCCTCTTCGTCTATGGTTTAATCCCGCAAATTTTCGCTTATGCCGTGATTTTGATTAAATGTCAATTACACAATTTTTATTTTATTATTTTACGTTTCTGTGAATTCTGTCAAAATTATAAGAGATGAAGTGAGTATATATATATATATATATATATATATATATATATATATATAAGAGATCAAATACAAACCATGCTTAAAATACTAACATACAAACTCAATAATATGCATCACTTTGAACTGCAATATGCAGTAAAAATAACGTAAAGATGTGGGGGTGATATCACATACAAACTAGTCCTCCCATTCAAATCATCTTTACAGTATTTGTATTGCACATTGAAGTTCTAAGCTTTTCAAATTATTCAAGCCATAAAATAGCACTTTCATATTTACATTATTTGTATTGCATATTGAAATTCAAAGAGTGCATCTTTACATTATTTGTACTGCATATTGAAGTTCAAAGTATTGCATATTATTGAGTTTGTAGGTTAGTAAGTTAAGCATGGTTTGTATGTGATCTCACCCCTATATACATATATATGCGGGTCAGAGATTTAAAGAGTATTCAAGCTTATTATTGAAAGGAGAGTACTCAAGCTTGAGTTAGCCAAAATTTATAAGCTTGTTTGTGAAACAACGATCAATTGTTGTATCCATACCGTCTATTACTCTTTGAGGAACGATATCGGGATTAGCGGATCGCAAAATCTTATTCTTACAAATCATTAACATCGACCTTAACTTCAAGAGCTGGAGAATTCGAGTTCTCCCAACGCCGGTGAGCACATGAGCTCGGAGCTGGAAGAAACACTCTCAGATTCAAGATCATCGAAAGCTCGACGGTTACAAAAAGCCATCGGCATCGAACTCAGAAATCTTTTCCGGCTGGCAATTCCGGCCATCATTGTTTACTTGTTAAACAATGTTATTTCGATGTCTACCCAGATTTTTTGTGGGCATCTTGGTACTCTCCAGCTCGCTGCTGCTTCCCTCGCCAATAATGGCATCCAAGTCTTGGCCTATGGAGTCATGGTACATTCCATCAGTCTTTCTTCAAAATGATGGAAAACTTTTATACTAATTTCGTTTCTTAAAAAATCACAGCTTTTAAGTACATACTCCAAAATCCAAATCTGTACTTCAATGTATGCAGGATTTACAAATATGATTTATTGCAATTTTGAGGAATGTTACTAAAAGACAAAAATATGAGTTCTTTTGTTTTTTTTTTCTAATAAACTGACTAACCGTACGTGTATCATTTATTCTTTTTATTTAATATTCAATTTAAATAAACTCTTATTAGCCCTTAACGGTTAACAGGAGCAGTGGCGGACCCACTAAGGGTCCCACGGATCCCGAGACCTATGTACTTCCAAAAAAATACTATGTAATTTATATATTTTATTTAAAATTTATTTATAACTCTATATATAAGATAAAAATAAGTATGAGTTCCAAAGAATAGAGTGAGCAACGGAGAAAAGGCATTAATAACCTTTCCTTTTCCTGGAGGTGTAAGGATCGATTCCGTCACGCTCCTACTGCCCCCCTTTTTTGGTTCTTTATTGTAAAAGATCACAATTACATCCTTTTGCCTTTTAAAAAAATTCCTAGCTTTACACTTTACATAATTCAATTAATTATTAAATTTTCTTTGAATTTTCAGATTGAATTATTAAATTCATGATATTTATAAATGTTTTTTCAAAATTTAACGATTTACGATGAAAAGATATTTCGATAGTGTGACCAAATTTAAAGAAATCATTAATTCAAATGATTTTCCATTATTAAGTGAAGAATTGAATCATATAATTGGTGAATATGAAATTAATTTGAATGACAATACACATGATCAACATGTTTATTTTGAATCTTTAGAAGGTTATCCTGGTTTGAGAAAAAAATTGCTAATTTGCATCGTAATGTTCAAGATGAGGTGCGCGGTGCGCCGTAGTAGGGACTATGAAACGTTGTACTACTTCAATATTTGGAATTTTATCAATTCAAAACTTGAAAGGCAGATGAATTATCAATCTGAGACCTGAAAGATGAAATTTATTGATATGAGACTCAAATGATGAAAATTGTCAATTTAGGACTTGAATGATTGAAGACTATCAATCTCGGACCTATATTGTCATGAATTTTTATTATTTTTTATGTTATATAATTTCAATTCTTATATCAATACATTTCATCTTTCGGGTACCGAATTAATAATTTATCTATCTTTAAGGTCCTGAATTGATAAAATTTCTTAATATTTTGTTGATGTACATTAACTATGAAATGTTATGCTACTTTAATATTGTATACTTACATTTTTTTTTAATTTTTTTATTGATTAGAGTTACATTAAGGTAGGGACCCCATGATTCCGATTTTCTGGGTCCGCCACTGAACAGGAGTTATAAGAATTATTAGCCCTTAACTCCAAAGAGTGCTAATAGGACTATAATTTTTTCATTTCTCATAGAGGAGTAATTTATGTCTCTCTTCTTATTCTATCCCCCCGATCCTATAATCCCCAAAACAAGACTTATTTTACTAATAAGAAATTCAGAGTTTTATTTATAATACTGGGTAAATCATAAATATAATAAAAGTATTTATAAATTTATAATTAAATGCAAAACAATAAAATAAAAAAAACATAAAAAACATTGAAAAATGAAAAAATACATTACAAATATGTAGACATCTGCTGCCGCATATTCCACATCCCACCACCAATTGCCGGGAAATGCCACCTTGTTTAAAAATAATATTTCTCTATGAAAATGTCATGAAAATTAAATGACATTTTTAATACTTGAAGATACCAAATTTTGCTTCCAGAACTAGTACGAAATTAACCTTTTTAGCAGGTTAGCATTTCTTCAATGACCGGAAGGGGCGGTGTTGAAAGGTGGCTGAGGTTGGCATATTTTTATTTATTTTTGAAGTTTTTAAAATATCTTTATGTTTTATTATTATAAAAAAAGTCTTTGTAAAGCATGACAAGAGCAAGGGTAAGATATGAAAAGTTACACCTATTCTAAGAATTTATGCTTTATGCCCTATTTTTGCAATCGAGGTTTTATTTGCCTCTTTTTTGGGATTTATCCCTTAAGATAAGTATAAGGATGTTTTTACTTGGACTGTAATTCGATCCAGATCAGACCAGACTAGACCAGACCAGATCAGATCAGACCAGACCGGACCAGATCAATTCAGACCAGACTAGACCAGACCAGACTTGAATAGTTATAAAAATACAAAGAAATCAGACCAGACCAGACCAGACCAGTTAAGACCAGACCAGACCAGACCAGACCAGACCAGCAAATTACAGTCCAAGTAAAAACATCCTAAGAATCAATTAATGCCGCTCAGCCACCCCAATAATTGCCGATCGATATTAGCGACATTGAAATTACTAATCTAAGTCTTGTAGCGACTAATAATTCCTTAGCTAGTTAGGAACTACAACTAGGAGCCTGTTTTGTAACACGAAAATCGGCTGATTCAGCTGATTCTGCTGAAATTTATGAAGTTCTGGTTGAAGTGGTTGCATTGGCTGATTCTGCTGATTTAAGAAAAAATTATTTTTAAAATATATTTTATTAATAAACTAATTAAAATATTATATGTAAAAATAGCTAAAATGGTCATCTACAGTAACTTCAGTCAATACAGTCAGAAAATAACTTCAACCTTACTTTATCTTATTATTACACAATTCAGCGTGTGAAAACAAAAGTAAAATGTTTGGTGAAAAAGTTGACTGATAAACCCGATAAGCCAAAAAACAATAAGGTTGTTACCAAACGGCCTCTAGGACTGATGCATCAGCTAGGCTTGGAGCACTCTTTCACTAATGAACTAGTTTTGGAATGGGAACACAGTAATATAGTTGCATGTCATTTTTTCTTACTTATTTTTTCCTTTAATAAATCAAATAATTTTTAAAAAGTTTCCTTAAATATTACTCGCGTAGAACTTATAGATGAAACTTTGCTTTAAAGTTTTTATATGTAAATCATCATCACAATTGTTGTGGTGTAAAATTAATTAAACAGACTGACAATCACTAAAGTTCCATTTTTATCCACTCACTTTATATTAGTCATACAAAATATTTGGATTGTAGGTTATTAGGTTGTTTTGTAAATGAACTTACTTAATTACGAAAATCAAGTATTGGGTTATTAGGTTGTTAATTGTTTTTATAATTCATCTTAACAAATACATAAAGAGAGAATTCTCCAAATAGGAGCAAAACATAGACAAAATGCAAAAATAGGAGTATCATGTTTTGAATAGGAGTAACTTTAGTGTTTGGACAAGTATACCCCTACCCAAACCCTAAGCCCCAACAACTTTTAATTAAATGTTTAATTCATAATAAATTCTGAAAAAAATCAAAAATTCGGAGAAAAATATTTAATTTTTTTAAAATATTAATAAAATAAAAACAATTAAAAAATATATTTTAAAATTTTTTAGTTTTTTAAAAAATTAATAAAAAATAGTAAAAATCCATTAAAAAAATTAAAAAAAATATGGATGTCTTTCCCACTGCCTGTATAACCTTCCTGCACCACCATCTCCGGGCGGTGAAAAAAATTCCATTTTTCCTAAAAACTGCCGTTTTTTTTTCTGAAAATGCCAAAAACATGGCATATTTCACTTTGTGAATGCCAACATTTTCATTATTTTCTGCCATAAATATGGCATTCGTAATGAACTTGACATGTTTTCCCCTAGTGACTGGAGGTGGTGGTGTAGAGGCGGCAGAGGCGGCGGTGAATTTTATTTTATTTCTTTGAGTTTTTTATATTTTAAAAAAAAATTAATTTTTTTATTTTTTGAAAAATAAATAAATAAATAAATTATTATTATCGAATAAGTCATAAATTAACTAGGTTAAGATTAAATAAGTCATATTTTAGAATTAACTAGGTTAGGGATATTAAGGGTACAAAATTAATGTTTTCTCCTGTTGAAGGGAGTTTTAAGTTTTACTCCTATTTGTGCAATTATGTTTATGTTTACTCTTATATTGGGCAATTTCTAATACATAAAAATGTTTTTACTTGGACTGTTATTTGCTTATCTACTCTAGAATGTTTAAGTCTGATCTGGTTTGATGTTTTTAAGTCTGGTCTGGTCTGAACTGCTGTGATCTGGTTTGGTAAATGTCTGATCTCTGTATATTTTATAACTACGCAAGTCATGTCTGGTTTGATTTTTTTAAGTCTGGTCTAGTCTGAACTGATGTGATCTAGTTTGGTAAATGTCTGATCTCTGTATATTTTATAACCACGCAAGTCATGTCTGGTCTGTTTAAGTCTAGTCTGATCTGGTCTAATTTGTTTAAGTCTGGTCTCATCGGGTCTGGTCTGTTTAAGATCAGATCAGATCAGACTAGACCAGACCAGGCCAGACCAGATCAGATCAGACTTCCATAGTCATAAATAACACATAGACCAGATGTTTATCAGACCAGACCAAACCAATTCATACCAGACCAGATCAGACCAGACCAGACCAGACCAAATCAGACCAGCAAATTTCAGTCCAAAAGAAATCATCCTTATTATTGTATAGGTCTCAGGTTTTTAAGAGCTACCCTAACAATAGTATAAGAATTCGTACATTCAAGAAGCAAAAGGTCATTGCGCTAGCTAGATGTCTTATACGAAAAAAGGATGACAACCCCGACCGGACGGTACATTGAGAGGATGTAAATTGGATTATAATCCCAATCTGACAGATAGAGAGTGGGGCTCTGTCACCGGTACTTGCAGAGGTCCTATGCATTTTTAGCATAGTAACCCCTCATCGCAGTTGTCGGGATTCGAACCCGGGACTTAACCCTTGTGACACTCCCTTGCTAGATGTCTTATACGAAATTACGTTGGTAGTAGTCCCTTACTTTCATCTTAATTAATTATTAACTGATTTATGAAGTTAAAATGTTGTTATGATTCACAATATTTTGTTTCATTTGTATTTTTGTATAAAATGGTTCATTCATTTAGATGGTAATTGCTCGAAAAGAAGTTGCATATATGATATATGCCCAATTTCTTACTATGGAATGTAATACTACGTATGTTAGTGTTAACTATACATAATGTATGCGTGAACGTACAGCTTGGAATGGGAAGCGCGGTAGAGACACTATGTGGACAAGCTTATGGAGCAAACAAGTACGAAATGCTTGGAATATATCTTCAAAGGTCAACTATTCTTCTCATGTTGGCAGGGCTACCACTTTTACTGCTCTACATATTCTCCAAACAAATCTTGCTCTTATTAGGAGAATCAAAATCTGTGGCTTCCGCCTCCGCCCTCTTCGTCTACGGTTTAATACCGCAAATTTTCGCTTATGCGGTGATTTTTCCGATACAGAAATTCTTGCAATCGCAAAGCATTGTAAGCCCTAGTGCATATATATCAGGTATTCAAAATTGTACTTTCCTTGTATCTTCATATTTATGCAATATCGTGGTGCACTGGTTGCTTTTGAAAACTAGAATCGAATCTAATTAATTGGAGAATGAGATGCTAGGCGCGTAGGAAAGTTCCTCTTTCTTACTCGTATTTCTTATTTTTAAGTTATGCTATGATTGCTATCCACAATTGGTGACTTTTAGTCATGTTCCCGTCAATCAAGTATTTTGATCATATGAGTTACATGATGGGAATTTCTCTTTCTTTTTGTAATATTGCGCGGTAAATTTCCCTATATATTATTCCCATGGTCATCACTACCGCACTAACACTCCAATAGTGTGTTTTAACTGGCTCTAGCATTGTCACACATGCATGTAATTGTTAGCGTCAATACTAAATTAAGATATGTTAATGACACTCCAAATAGGTCGTTATAGTGACTAGGTCATAGATTGGGAAATACATGATCTTCTAATCACATGATAGGTAATTTTCTCTACTTTATATATATATATATATATATATATATATATATATATATATATATATATATATATATATATATATATATATATATATATATGTTATGGTTCAAACAAGAACATGATCTTGAGAAATGAGAATGAATCTGTATGTTAGTTTTGTTTTAAGTGAAATTCAATATGCATTAGATGAAAATGTAATGTGCATTATGTGAAATTGAAATGTGCAACACAAATATTACAATACAGTGACATTATGTGAAGCTGAATTGTGCACTACGAGAAATTAAAATGTGTTGTAGGTGAAACTGAAATGTGCAGAATAAAAGGTACGATGTGATGTTATTTTTGTACCTTTTATTCCGCACATTCCAGTTTTATCTAATGCACACTTGAGTTTAAATTTTTATTCCGCACATTTCCATATCATCTGATGCACATCTCAGTTTCACCAAATGCATAATCCAGTTCCACATAATACAATCGAACGGTCCAGATTCGTTCTCATTTCTCTTCTGGGAGTCCGTTCTTACCGGAACCGCTCCCTATATATATGTGGACCGTTGGAGAAAAATGAGAATGAATATGAAATGTGTATTTGGTGAAACTGAAATGTGCATCAGATGATATTGAAATGCGTAGAATAAAAATTTAAACTCAAGTGTGCATTAGGTGAAACTGAAATGTGCGGAATAAAAGGTACAAAAATAACATCACATTGTACATTTTATTCTGCACATTTCAGTTTCACCTAGTGCACATTTCAATTTCACGTAATGCACAATTGAGCTTCACATAATGCCACTGTATCGTACTATTTGTGCTGCACATTTCAATTTCACCTAATGCACATTGTAGTTTCATCTAATGCACATTGAATTTCACTTAAAGCAAATCTAACGGTCCAGGTTCATTCTCATTTCTCTCCTAGGATCATGTTCTTATTTGAACCAAAACCTATGTGTGTGTATATATATGTATATAAATGATCGTGTCCAGCACTTCTCCGTCCGAACGTCGTCCAAACACCGCCGTTTGGGGCCGTTCCCGGTGGAATTTTTTGATGAATTTTTTTGAGCATGTTCCTCATCAAGACTAGTTTGTCCACAAAACATTTCAGCTCAAAACTCGATCAGGAAGGTAGTTAAATCATATTTGAAGTTGACTGCGTTTTTATATGTATATTTTGGCGCAGTCAACTTCAAAAAATGATTTGATCGCCTTCCCCATCAAATTATGAACTAGATCTACCGATAAAGCTTTGTATATAGGTTTGGATAATGTTTTGTTCATTCAATTTTTATTTCAGGAGTAACGCTAGTTTTGCACATCGCCCTAACATGGGTGGTACTGTATGTGTTGGGCTGGGGATTGCTGGGCGCGGCTCTCGTGCTGAGCTTTTCGTGGTGGATCATAGTGGTCGCGCAGTTTGTGTACATATTGAAGAGCAAGCGGTGCGAGAAGACGTGGAGAGGGTTCAGCCTTAGTGCATTCTCAGGGCTGTGGAATTTCTTCAAGCTCTCTATTGCATCTGGTGTGATGTTGTGTTTGGAGATGTGGTACTTCCAGATTCTGGTCTTGATTGCGGGTTTGCTTCCTAATCCTGAGGTTGCCTTGGATTCTCTCGCCATTTGGTAAGTTGGGCTAGCTAGAAAACGTGTCATGTTAATTCATTAGGCTCAACATACTTATCGCTCATCTACTTTGTTTCCAAATTTAGTTAAAAAGTAACTCTCACTCACCTTTCTGATAATATTTAATAAATTTGTTACATTGAGTCAGAAAAGTAACTTTTTGTTTATTTATTTTATTGTGATTATGAGCTTAAAATATGTATAATTTAGTGCGTGCTTGATAAAAAAACTGATCGATAAAATTGAAGAAAAAGGAAGTTTCAAACCGAGCTTTCATACTCCCAAACATTATTATAAAAATAACTTCTTAAAATAATACTACCTCCGTCACGAAAAGGTTCATCAAATTGACTTTTCTTAGTCAATGATGACAACCTTTAAACAATGTTTTTGATTATTTTATTTATAAACAATTTCTAAATTTTATACTTTTTTGAAAATTTTTTGAATAAGGAACATTTTGATATAATTTTCATATTCTATATAGTTTCGTATTAAAAAATATCATTGATCAAAGTTGATTATCATTGATAAAGAAAAGTTAATTTGGTGAACCTTTTTAGGATAGAGGGAATAAGGTAGAACAAATCAAGCATTAGTGTATTCACGGGTTAGAAAGTAATTGTATAGTTTAAAGTCTGGGGTTTAAGTAACAAAACCCCTAATGATATACTACGTATAAATTTTGAGCATTAACTCTTTGTGAGAGATGTTTCACATCCCTGGTGTTATAATATATATATATATATATACATACATATAATATAAATCAAGGACAAAAACCTCTCCAAGAACAAATGAATTTCTCAAAAAAAATATTATTAGCATTTTTGTATAATATTTAAAAATCTTGATTAATTTTCGTGCATATTCAATCATAATATAAGACACACTACAAAAATACACGGGATTGACAGGGATTTTGGCAGGGATTTGGCAAAGATTTTGGCGGGGATATGCCAAATCCGTGCCAAAAACTCTTTGGCACGAGCTATTTGACAAGAAAAAATCGGTAACTCCGTGCGAATTCCGTATTTTTTTTTGTGACACGTAATTCCCAAATTGTTAAATATTTTCTAAGAGGGAGTTTTGGGCACAAGTAATCACACGGATTGCACGCTCATTTTTAAATCATAAGTTAAGCGCTATTGCGTAAAATTTATAAATCATAAAGGGACTTGATGTATTAAACTGTAAAATCTACTTTGTTTGTAATTATATGAAAGTATATGCGAAAGTTGGTAATCTTTTTACTTAATTGAGCGTCGAACAATTAAAATAGTTTACAAACATAAAAAAGAGTTTGAAAGTATACAATGCATTTGAAAGAAAATGAATTATTTTAGAGATTACTTTTTCTACTAGAATAAAACTAGGTTCTGGGCCTTGGCGAAGAAATGAGAAAGGAAAATCATATTGTAGAAGTGTACATCTTTTGTCACTTGGTGTACATTTTTCTTGTACACTCATCAAAAAAGACAGAAACATTAAGAGAATAATTAAGTCTTATATGTGTACACAGCTAAATTCTACAAAACATCTTTCATTCATCGTCATTCATTATCATTACTCTAGTGCCGCAAAGATTCTCACCTTCGATGAGATAAGGAGGTCGTAAATTCTGTCATTAAACCTGCAAATTCTACAAAACATATATGTAAAAAATGTGTATATCCAGAATTACATGTACTCGTGGAAAATGATCCAAAGAAAGAAACATTTAACATCATTTTGAAAATGATTAGAACACTTGAAAAAATAACATGTACACTATAAATAAAGTTTCTTCGGACAAAACCGGGACTAATTATGTTTTTGATTAATTGAATAAGGGTCTTTTTTATCAATATTACTAAAATAAGTAAAAAAGACAAAACTATGACTTGTTTTAAAAACTTACAAAAAAGTGACCAATCATTCATTTATTCCCTTATTTTAATACGGATTGCATTAATTATGGTGAGGTGCCTTTTTTATAATTATGGTGACGTTCCCTTTTTAGTTTAATACGTATTGCATATTTACATTAATAGAAATTAGTTCAAATAGGACTAAAACTATGGCAAAAACCTAAAATATGACTTGTTATGTTTTTATTCCAAAATAGGATCATATGAGTCCTATTGGAAACATACCTATTTTTTCATTCCATTCTTACCCTTCCATTAAATATGAATTAAAAATGGTCAAAAGCCATAATTAAATGTTTAATTCATAATAAATTCGAAAAAAATTCAAAAATTCGTAGAAATATAATTAAAAAATTTATAAAATTTTTATAAAATAAAAAATTCAAAAACTTTTTTTGTGTGTGTCATGAATAAATATATCTTTATAGCTTTTGAAATGTTTTAATTCATAATAAAATAATAAAAAATAAAAAAATCGTAAAAATACTAAAAAATTAATAAAAATATTTCGATAATACTATTTTTTTTATTTATTTTATTTCAAAAAATAAAAAAAAAATAAAAAAAAAATAAAAAAAAATAAAAAACTCAAAAAATAAAATAAAATTCGCCGCCGCCTCTGCACCACCACTTCCAGTCACTAGGGGAAAAATGCCAAGTTCATTACGAAGGCCATATTTATGCCAGAAAACAATGAAAATGTTGGCATTCTTAAAGAGAAATATGCCATGTTTTTGGCATTTTCAGAAAAATTGGCTGTTTTTAGGAAAAATGACATTTTTTTCACCTGTCGGAGATGGTGGTGCAGGGAGGTAGTACAGGCGGTGGGAAAGGCATCCATTTTTTTTAAAATTTTTTATGGAGTTTTACTTCTTTTTATTAATTTTTTTAAAAAAAATTAAAAATTTAAAAAAATAATAATTTTTTATTTCATAATTATTTTATAATTTTTTTAATTATTTTTCTACGATTTTCTGAATTTTTTCGAATTTATTATGAATTAAACATTTAATTAACTCATATTTAAAGGAAGGGTAAAAATGGAATGAAAAAATGGGTATGTTTTCAATAGGACTAATATAGTCCTGTTTTGAAAATAAAAACATAGTAAATCATATTTTGAGTTTTTTTGCCATAGTTTTAATCCTATTTGGAGTAATTTCTATAATCAATATTCCCTAACTGCCCACAGCAACTAGACCACCATCGTCTCCCACCGCCTAGTGCTCATCTTCGATCATAGTGATCACCGCCCAATGATCATCTATGGTCATAGTGATCTCCGCCTAGTGACCAACTTCGGTTATAGTGACCATTAATAGTGTAGAATGAATTAATTAAGTATCACTACTAACAATCTCCTATCATAGTGATCACCGCCCAGTGACCATCTCCGACCATGGTAACCACCGCACATTGACCATGTTTCGTGTTCAGTGACTTCCAATCTTCCGCCCAACAAGTCAACAACTAACTCCAATAGATCTGTCACTGCCAAATCCAGTAGAAAAAGTCGGTGTTTTGTCGGCGATGGCACCACTCCTGCTTCAACACCGACAGTCCCTGCTTGAACCCCTAGCCGTTGCCCACCCTACTCCCTGGCATTTTCCTACCACTTCCCCTGTCACGGCCGCCTACCCTCGTCCATGTCCTAATCATGCACATGCATTGCCCAGTGACTCGCACCCAGGGGCGGACCGTAGTAGAGACCCAGGGGGGCAACCGCCCCCCCAACAATTGTTTTTTAGTGTATATATATACGAAAAATGATTTTTGCTCTTTCAAAAAGTATTTTGAACCTCCCAAAAATATTTTCGCCCCCCAAAAATGACTTTACTGGGTCCGCCCCTGCTCGCACCACCACCCGATGCTCGCCACCACACCGCCGCCCACCAGCCTATCACTCCCCCATAAATCAAAACCCAGATGCTCTGAATCCCATTCGTTTGCCACCATCATACGCCGACGCCATACAGAATATATTCACGTCCTTCCACTCTCACCATCTCTCATCAATGGCGCCAATCGCCTACAGAAAAGAGAAGAAAAAGAAGTGTCGGCGATGGCGCTTGGGAGATGAATAGGCGGTGATGGCGATCGAGAGACGGAGCTCGGAGAGTGCGGTTGAGATCTAAGGCAGCGTGCGGTGGGTGAGATATGAGACCAATTCTGGCGGATGATATATGGCGGCGGCATACAAAACGTGAAACATTTATCGATAATACTCTGGATTAGATGGCTTTGGGGTTGGGGCAGTTTCCGTATTAATGGGTTTGGGGTTGAGGCAATTTCCGTATCAGTGGGTTTGGGACTTTGGGGTTGAGGTCATTTAAAAAGTGTCATTTTTTTTCAAACAATAAAAGATGTCATATTTTTGGAAATGAAAACATGGGTGGCAATATAGATGTCATTACTTCTTGAATAAGAGTCCCTATATTGTATTTCGTATTTCAGAGTGAAAATCATTGAATACGTCACTTTTTGGAAAATTTTAAAATACGTTACATTTGTTGGGAAAATGTGTTAAAATTTGTATTAAATGGTCATTTTGGGGCAATTATTTGAGTGGGATCCACTTCCGATTTGGGTCGGGTCAAAGTGGTTTCGGATTGTCCTTGCTAAGGGCTAGAATTCGATATGTGTTACACTCAAAACGGATAACGGGTGAGTGAGAAATTGATTCTCGAAGTTCACTCGTTGAAATGGAAAAACTGGGAAAATGATGAGTTTCTAGTGTGTTTTATACCACACCGGAAAACTCAAGCGATTTTCACCCCCTTATAAAGGGATGTCTCTTTTAAGGAGTTAAGATTCCTTAAAGTAGAGGCTCTCTCTCGCGCGCAGTGGGGGTGCTGATCAAATCCCAAAACGGAGAAGAAAAACCGCGACTCGTGTGCGCGAGCGACCTGCGGAATCAAACGAATGGGGGCGGGGGGTGCTGATCGTCCGAAAATCTATCACTCAAAGATACGATTTAATTTTTGCTTCTCCTCTTCCCGTAACGGTTCCAGTTTCTGTTGCGCAACAAAATACCTCGATGTTATGTCCGTTACAGGACTTAATGCCCAACGTTCTTCTCCATTAATGTGCGCTTTAAATGGACAGTTTTCAACATATTAATGGTCAACGTGCTGGAAACTTATGTGCAACGTTCAGGTCCATTAAAGCTCGGTTAACACACAACAAATTCTCCTATAAATAGCTGGCAGGTGGTTTGCAACAAACACACGTTCACAAGC